CTATTGAAAGTCTCACTGAGATAAATGCATATCTGATTGCTTCCTTTGGAAAGGCTAATCAGAAACTCAGAAGAATGCCACCATTTGTCTCCCACTTACCTGTGATCTGAAAGCTCCTAAATCCCCTCCCCGCTTCGAGTTTTCCCACCTTTCGGGATCAAACCAATGTCCATTTTACATATGTTGATTGATGTCTCATGTCTCCCTTGTTAAAAGTAAAAAATTAGGTACAGTGAATGGGATAAATGTTTTATGTAAACTTTTTGTGTAAATTAAAATCTTTAAGTTATTTTTGATGCTCGTTTAATATCTAGATCATTTCCAATTAAAAAGGGTTATGATATGGGGAAATATGTTTCTAAAATTGTGGAGTTGTTCTTATCCATAAATGCCCATATCTGATAGTTCAGGATTTCTTGCTTTTTAGGGTTACACTAAAGTTTTAGGTTGCTGAGGATAAAATTCTACTTAACACATAATTCTGTATACAAAATGTGCCAGAAAGGATTGTTATTAGTGGAAAAAAAAAATTTTGTCTAATTCAGAAGTTATCTAAAAGTTAGTTCAAATTACATATTTCAAAAAGTTATTTATGAAACAATGTAGTAAGGAATCATTAAGGGAGAAAAATGTGGAAAAGTTTAAATAATAAAATATTCTTTAAAACCTGATAGAGAATTGGAGACACTTGGCTAATTAACATTTTCATAAAGCTCTTAGTCTTGATTAAAGTAAAGTAAGAAGCTTTGTAAATAAATGCATTGACAGTTTGGCAATTCTTTTTTTTTTTTTTAAATATAGGTAAGCATGAAGCAGGATTTAGTGTGGAGCCAAATTTCACATACATGCTTGCATTGCTTCACACTATGTTTACTGTTTTGCATGGATAGTGCTGGCACTGGAGTACTTACTGATCATGTACCTAAAGTGGACTTCTTGATTGCACAGAACATATAATAATATTGTTGAACTTAAAGATATTAAATTGTGTATCAGGAATAAAATATTCATTATGTTGGTTTTCTGGGGCCCTAGGTAACACTGTAGCCTCCAGGTAAAATTAAGTAGGAAAATTTAGGGTTGGTTTCCTGTTTGTTTTTACTTCTAGTTTTCACTCATTTGTTCTTTATTCTCCCTTGGCTTTGCTTGTATATGCATTTACATATAACCATGATGTTTTTTAGATCCTAGTGGAAGACTTTTATTTGGTTCTGTGAATACTTATTTTGTTTCCTATGCCTTTCTAGCAAGTCATCATTCATTCCATTTATCTGGAATTCCTAGGCTACCTTTGTCAGGCCTGCAGAAATTGATAGAGCACACCATTTTTTTTTTTTTTTTTTTTGAGACAGAATCTCACTCTGTCACCCAGGCTGGAGTGCAGTGATGTGATCTTGGCTCACTGCAAACTCCATCTCCAGGTTCAAGCAATTCTCCTGCCTCAGCCTCCTGAGAAGCTGGGATTACAGGTGCCCACCATCAAACCCAGATAATTTTTTTGTATATTTAGTAGAGATGGGGTTTCACTATGTTGGTCAGGCTGGCCTCAAACTCCTGACCTCAAGTGATCCACCCACCTTGGCCTCCCAAAGTGCTGGGATTACAGGCATGAGGCACTGCACCTGGCCCATACCAGCCTTTTAACCTTAAACTAACTTTTTGGGTTTTAGGTTTCTTGATACTTTAAGCCTGTTGAGTATACTCTTATAAATAGAATTTGAGTCATATTTCTCTCTCTGCCTAATTTCTCCAAAATGTGTAAACCCTTTGTAAATATTCTTAATTCATGGCAATGTGTTTGTTTGCATACAGTCAAGCAGGGTCACTAGGGCCGCTTGGAGAGAGAGAACCCAGAAACCTGGCATGCTGGCAAAAGGGTAGAATTTCTTACCAGTCAGTCTCTGGCCTCTTTCTGTGCAAACTGGTTAAATATAAAGTAAAAGTTACTGTTTATTACCTCTGTAAAGTTTTAAGTTAATTTGTTTAATAATTAAAAAAATCAAATATTTTATCAGAAAAGTGAAAAACATAATGACTTTTATTTAGTTCATGTGATGTGAGTAATCTTTGGGAAATTAAGACAGTTTTAAAGATTACCGGTAAAGTACAAATGTCTTCGAAATGTAAACATGTGGTCTAAATTATGTTCAAATATTAGGTTTGCTAAATGCTTTAAGGACATAAGCTGCTTCTTTGGCTTTTGAAAATTGTTTAACTTACCTGCTTTCCAGCTAGGTAAGACCTGGGGACACGTGGAGCTGGCAACACCCGCAGCTATGCTGGAAATAGTCAAACCTTATCAGAACATAACTTACCAGGTTTTGTTAGAATTTGCCATTAAAACATGCAACTTAGACTACTAGAAACAGTTTTACATACAAGGTGTGTAAGAACAGAACATAGGTTTTTTTGTAAGAGGTTATAAAAGGGTTTTACTTCTTTAAAATTTCTTAGTCATCATTTTGGCAAAATAAATAATTTATGGCAATCTGGAATTCCAAAATCAAACTTCAGTTTTAAAATTGTCTTTCCTGGCCAGGTACGGTGGCTCACGCCTGTAATCCCAGCACTTTGGGAGACTGAGACAGGTGGATCACCTGAAAATCACCTGAGGTCAGCAGTTCATGACCAGCCTGGCCAACATGGTGAAACCCTGTCTCTACTAAAAATTCAAAAAATTAGCCGGGAGTGGTGGCAGGCAACTGCAATCCCAGCTACTTGGGAGGCTGGGGCAGGAGAATGCTTGAACCCAGGAGGCGGAGACTGCTGTAAGCCGAGATCATTGCACTCCAGCCTGGGCAACAAGAGCAAAACTCCGTCAAAAAAAAAAAAAAAAAATTTGTCTTTCCTAATGCCTGGCTTTGTGGATGGATCAGAGGGCCCCTGAAAACATCCAGAAAGGAAGTAAACAGGGTTATTTGACATTTTTCGGTACATGGGATTGCCAAAATGATGTTCAATCTTCTTTAGGTTATGTTTTTGTGAATAATACTAATATATGTTCCAAAATTATATGGGATTTCTAAAATTCTAATGTCTAAGTATATGCTATGTATTATAATTATGGTTATTATGTTAAGTTATTGTAAACCACAGAAATAACCAAATTTCCTTGTTAGTGCTATCCACCTAATTTGGAAAAACAATTGGTATCCAAGAGGATATAAGTCTAATGTTAATTAAGCATGGACTCATGGAGAACCAGGATGGCTACCTTGTCCTTCCTGAGTCCTTAAAGCTTTAATTATCAAAAGTTCTGCATTCCATGACTCCTCATCGAAAAGATAAAATAATCCAAATTGAATACATTAGTGTAGTGACTTACAAATTACTAAAATAGTTTATAACAGTGTTTGATCCCATATTCTTGGAAACAACAATTAAAGCTTCAGGTACATTTGGTCACCTGGTTGGCCAATTAAAAATTTTATAAAGGGATTTCATTCCATTGTTATTTTCAATGCACATTTTCTGGTTGTATAAAAGCTTTGCTATGCAAGAGGGCTGATATTATCACAGTAGATTATTATGCTACAGTGTATTTTCACCAGGTAAAGAAAGCTTTTTATGGTTTGGATCTTCTGGAAACATCAAAGGAAAACTGTCCTTGCCATCCACATGACAACAAAATTTCAGGACCATGAGCTTTGAGTTCATAATCTCATAACTGAGAAAGGTACCTCCATGCTCTTGAAACCGTACCCCCATTGGAACCCTTAAGGTAAAACTAACCAGGGAAATTTTTCCCAAGAAGAAGATGGCATCCTCGATGTGAACAGCTTTTCCCAAGTTCACAAATTAATACTTCTACCATCATGAAACTCTTATCTTTGAATATTTTCTTTTGCTTATGCCTCTATAAACAATAGAAGTGAAAAGGGGGTCTTTTATGTGCACTTATGGGGTGTACTTTGATTTGTAAAGGAGTTTGCAACCAGCCTTATATATGGATAAACTTATACTTTGATAAATAAAAGATGAAGGCCCAATATAGGTAGGAAACTTTAAAGGTACATATGTTGCATCATAATCAGTTAAAAACAAAACATTAGTTAACTCCTCTTGACCCACATCATGGGTTAAGAAGAGCATTGCCAGGAGGCCTTTGCTCTTCTAGAAGGGCGTCATTTGTTAGGGCCTTTTTCCATGTTTTAAAGTAAAAGAAATAATGATTCCCTCATGATAGGCTTTATAGCAAATTCTACTGTAAAGGCTATAGTTACACAACAGAGTTTAAATTCTCGCGTGAAAGTTATGTTAGGATTGGCTGAACAAAGAAGTATCTGTGCAGCTGCTGGCACTTGTGGCCTATGGAGAAATACATCAAATGAAGATTATAGAAATTCGATTGTAGCAGATTAATGAAGAAACTGCTTAGTTAAGTCATTTTTTGATCTATTTGATTTTAGGAGATTTGGTTTATGAATACCTTGGGTAAGGAGCATACTCCAAACTCTTGGTATTATCCTCCCAATAGTCATAATAATAGTCTCCCTGGTGCACTGTATTCTCTCAAAGGTTTTAAATGCTTGCATGCAGCCATCTCTAGAATGTCATATGGTCTCTCTTCAACTGGAATGACAGGACCTGAAAGAAATGTGCAAACATGAGGACACTGTAACCTATGAATGGTGTGCTGAGATGGGAAACCAAAAATGATGGTAACTGAGAGCGGCACTAAGGCCCTAAGTTTTGGTCACAATCTCATCTAAGTGAGAACCTAACCAAAAGGGGAAATTTTTTAAACAAAATTATGGGAGGCCATTATTTTGGACTGAGCTCATGCACTAGGCCGCAACAGAACAAACCAAACTAAAATGGAGTCGTTTGTGCTAAGACTTTAAGGAAACACATAGATCCCAGAACACACCACAAATCGGGTTTCATTTTTCTTCTGCAAATCTCTATAATAAATATTCCTGACAGCATACGTATCCACCCCCTGAAGTTCCCATTAAATCTTTTAACCAAGTTCATTTTTTTTTTTTTTTTTGGCCTAGAGACCATCAAGCTTCAGACCATCATGCAACAAGGGCTCCAGCCAGTTCCAGATGAAGACACCACCCCGGGCCATCAAGGAGCTTCCCTGCCTCCACTAGACAGAGCAGAGTGAGAGTTCCGTGATTCCCAATAGGTAGGGGCTACGCCCTAAGCCAGCATGAAGCAATTACAGAAAAAAAGACCATTGGTTCCTCTGCCTCCCAATGGGGATCACATCTTTCAGTGGGGAGATGAGGCAGAAAAATAAGGTCTGGAGGCAGGGAATTCAAGCCCGATTCACACGTCAGCTATGACAGAAACTATCCTCTCCATAGGGTGTAGGCCAAGTAAATGACTTTGTAACTTTACTCCTCATTTTCTTAGGGTGCACCCCAAGAAACCAATGGAATCCTCTAGAGCGTATTTAAATTCCCCAAAATTCTGTAATGGGGCCCTTGAGCCCTTATGCTCAGGCCCACTCCCACACTGTGGAGTGTACTTTCATTTTCAGTAAATCCCTCATTTCTTCCTTGCTTTGTTTGTGCATTTTGTCCAATTCTTTGTTCAAGACGCCAAGAACCTGGACACCCACCACCATGGCAGACCAGGAGAGAGAAAAGAGAGTGAGGGGAGAAGTGCCACACACTTTCAAACAACCAGATCTCCTGAGAACTCACCCACTATTATGAAAACAGCAAGGGGGAAGTCCGCCCCCATGATTCAGTGACCTCCTACCAGACCTCTCCTCCAATACATGAGGATTATGATTCGAGATGAGACGTGGGTGGGAACACAGAGCCAAACTATATCACACAGTAATCTCAACAAAAGCTTCCAAAAGTTACTTTTGAACATCAGAGATGTAGGATATAGGATTCTCTCTCTGTCTTGGCAAGTTTAATAAAAGTAGATTGACTATAAGATATTGTTAATCAAAGTAATTGACTGTAAGATTCACTGTAAGCTTACAACTGCGCAAAAAGAGTAGCTTTTGAATAAAGATCAGTTATAGATTAAAAACTTGAAAACAACTTATTCTGCACAACAATGCAAGTGCCTAAATTTTGACCTGCAAAATAATAAATAACAGCAGGAAGCTCTACTTGAGGCCAGCTTTAGTTTAATGGAGGACAGTGGCCCTAAAACAAATACACAGCAAAGTAAATAGGGTGAAAAGCAAAGGTTGTTCTGGAACAAAATAACAGAGGATATTGAGGCATAGGCAATTCCCTCCCTCTCTCCTACCCTCCTTCCCAGTCATCCCACTAGAACAGGAACCTTAAAAAATGGAAGAGAGGGGCCTGGTGCAGTGGCTTACACCTGTAATCCTAGCACTTTGGGAGGCCAAAGCAGGTGGATCCCCTAAGGTCAGGAGTTCAAGACCAGCCTGGCCAACAGGGCGAAACCCTGTCTCTACTAAAAATAAAAAATTAGCTGGATGTGGTGGCATATGCCTGTAATCCCAGCTACTCTGTAGGCTGAGGCAGGAGATTCACTTGAACCTGGGAGGTGGAGGCTGCAGTGAGCCGAGATTGCACTACTGCACTCCAGCATGGGCGACAAAGCGAGGCTCCCTCTAAAAAAAAAAAATTAATTAATTAAAAAGGAAGAGAGACTGAGATCCTGCTATTACAGGAATTAGGGCTTTTAAATCAACTCATTTGGATTTAGAAGGTATAGAAAAGGTTGACATGCTTATTGTTTATTTTTAAACTTAAATTCACTTAGAGTCTTACTACAAGAAATGTAACTACTTCATAATATCATTTGATGTTTCGATGAACAAATAAACAATACATCTTACTCTTGTAAGATACTTACAATATATAGACACTTTTTATTTTTGCATTTATTGAATATAAACTCTCATATTTTACTATTTTCACCTGTTACTACATACTAAGGAATTCTCAATATTCCTACAGTTATCCTTTTATTTTAAAAGAGCACATAATATTCTATAATACTTAAGTGGTATAATTTATTAAAACCATTACCTAATGACAGACATTCATATTTGTTTTCATTTGGGGGATAGGAGAGAGAGATTAGTGTAGAGCTAGTATATGTAAGCTTTTGCTTCTATTTAATTATTTGCCTTAAGTTTGTTTTACTTTGAAGTTGAACTGACTGTGGTTGCAGATGGTTGGCTTACTTCCATTCCCCACATTCAGTTGACTATAAAGGAACAGTTGACTTTTTAAAATGAAAACAAAACTTTGAGTCTCAATTTGAACAATAACAAAATTCTCTTTAATCAAAAGTTAAACAAAAAAGTGGAGAATTTGAGAAAAGGGCTGCACCAAGATTTTTTTATTGTATTTTTAAGCAAACCTTTAATATTTTAAGATTGCATATTAATTTTAATATTGTATTTTTAAGCAAACTTTTGGAATATTTTTAGATTTCATAAAAAACTTGTGAAGATAGTATAGAGAGTTCCCATATATTCCCTATTGTTAACATATTATGTTAGTATGGCATACAAACTAATGAACCAATAATAATACATTACTATTTACTAGTCTATAGTTTATTCAGATTTCCTTCCTTATAGAGTATTTGTTTTAACCATTGTGACAGCTGTCTTTGTACAATAGGTATTCATATATAAAATATTGATTTCGTTTTTTTTTTTTAGATGGAGTCTCGCTCTGTTGCCCAGGCTGGAGTGCAGTGGTGCAATCTTGGCTCACTGCAACCTTTGCTTCCTAGGTTCAAGCAATTCTCCTGCCTCAGCCTCCCAAGTAGCTGGGACTACAGATGTCTGCCATCACAACAGGCTAATTTTTGTATTTTTAGTAGAGATGGCATTTTATCATGTTGGCCAGTCTGGTCTCAAAGTCCTGACCTCAAGTGATCCACCCACCTTAGCCTCCCAAAGTGCTGAGATTACAAGCGTGAGCCACCATGCCTGGCTGAAATACTGATTTCTAAAAATCAATTTATACTGGTACAAATGGACTCTGTGAATTAACCTAGAAGACTTAATGGGAAAAGAGCTTATAGAAAATCCTTTCTAACCCACCACACAGGTGTGTCTAGGCAGGGTCTTCCAGATAGAAAAGAGGAAAGCCAACATCTTTTCTTTCCAATTCTTTGTTCTCACCCTTCTTCCACTGGTCCCCAAGGCAGGGAATTGCAATGGATGGGCATTCTCTGTTAGGATACGGTGAGAAACAATGGTAATCTAGTTTTGGTGGTATGGCAAAATCAATACATATTTCTTAAATGAGTGAGTGAATGAATAATGAATGAATGAAAGCGTGTCCTAGGTGGTGAATCCTGGAGTAGGGTATATCTTGCATGAGTCAAGGTAAGGAACTATATAATTTACCCTCATCCTTACCTTAACAAGATTATTCAGGGTAAACTTCTGGAAGAAATACATTTTGTGCAATTTCGAGTTTTGACTAGGAATAGAGAGACTAACTTAAATGACACAAAAGAGGAAATGATTCGTCATGAACAACACGAAAAAAAGTCATAGTGAAGGAGATAGAGAAAGGAAAAGAGGCCTGAACATTCCTTTGACTTGATTAAATTAAGTGCTGCTTTTTTTTTTAAATTTAATCAAATGGAAATGGAAGGAGATTGATTACCTATTGTTTGGGTAGGTTATTTGAGTGAGGTGCTAAAAGCAATAAAGACTCATTTAAATTCAGTGGGAGGAGATGATGCAGTCCTTGTTGAATCTTTTTTTCATTTGGCTGCAGCTTTTTGTGCTGATCAGGATGTAGAGAGCGACCCAAGTCAGGAAGTAAGGAACAGAAGAGGCTTCATTAATCCACAGCCAGGACAAATGATTGACCATAGTTACAATGTGGAAGGAAGCATTTGTGAAGCTATTCCAGGGAAAGAGGCAGCCTCGTCATTTGAAAGCCATTTTGAATAAAAAACAAATAACAACGTAATTATTTCTCTTCCTGACTTCTCGGATTCTTTTTATTTTCTTTTTCTTTCTTTTCATTATTTGTCAGAATTAGATACTAATTCTTGCTGAATATTTATGAGGCCTATGAAATTTTAAATGTGAATGTTGGTAAGTTTCATTTATTTCATCCAGGGGTCAGTAACACAGAAAGTCCAAACTTACACTTCTTTAACTTCAAATTGCATTAATGTATTGGAGTACACAAAGGCAGACAATTCTTTTTAGTTTCATTTTGCTTAAGTTAACAGTGAGGTTTATATTCTCACAAAACACAATACAGGCAATCAAGAGGAAGTCTGAGTAGGAGCTTCAGAATTTAGGATTTTAGGGGAAAACCTTGAAAATTTGAAACAATAGAGCTAAGAATTGAGAGCCTAACAAAAACATGAATACAAAAGAGTTTTAAAATTAGAATCTTATCCCATTAATAGTTACTTTCCAAATATAAATCCTACTGGGTAACTTTAACTCCAAAAAGTAAATAGGTTCAATAGATGTAAAGTAACAAAGGTTAAAATAGTACAGGACCAGGCTATAATTGTTAAGTCATGGTAATAACTGTGGAGGTACTTATGATTAAGGAGATTAATAGCCAATACTTATAAAAAAGTCTAGGTGACCTGACACTGAATTTCTAATTTAGATTACCAGTTACCCTTGGGGGACTTTCAACTGTGTACCAGTTTTTTAACTTTTGCAATTTTGATAAATGAACATGGATTATTTAGAAAAAGATTAAAACCAATAAAATGATAAACACTGAGCAGTTTGCTTGCTAATATGTCTTTAAATTAAGGTGGCTTATCTGAGCTATATAAATCTTGAATGACCCTATTTTGGAAATTGGTTTGAGACCATAACATAGTCCAAGATTTTTTATTAGAGATTCAAGTGTTCTTTACACTAAAGGAAAATTAATTGAAAATTTAAACGGAAGAATGGCATGATCCCCCTTTGAGCAATACAATTCTAAGTTGCTTATAATGCTGTTTCTCACTCAGCACTCATTCTGTAGGCTGCCTGCCCTTCTCACACACAGATACAACTCTGAAGTTGTTAGTGGGGATCACCAACAGAGGGGAGAGTTCGATCCCATAGCACATAGCAACACTTCCTAGGAATTCTCTATTAATGCCTCTCTCTTTCTCCATGATTCCACTTTCTATGGAAGTTATTGTATATCTTTCTTCTCTCTTCCAGAAAAATCCTTTAGCTGTGCCAATAAAATTCCTCCCACTGTCTTTCCCCACTTTACTGTACAAAGCTTCAAATGTGCTTGTATACCACAATTAGCTACACAAAACCGAAACAAAACATCACCAGATCAAACCTATAGCAACTTATTCATCCCTCTAAGCATATCATTAAGGAGGCTTAATTTATGCCATCAAATAATATCTAAAAAATAAACTAGCTGAAAGTAACTTTTTTAAATGTAAGAGGCAAGGTGAAGCATTCCATTTCCTGATCCTAGTCCCATGCTGTAACTGCTATTTCTTTCCTCATGATATTCATTTCACTCTCAAGGTTTATCCTTCATGGGTGTACACAAGGTCACATACCAGTCTCTCTGCGACATTTTTTTAATATGGGAAAATAT